GAGTCTCATGCGCTGGGATGTATCCAAGTGTGCCTGGGCTCAGCTCTGTCCCACCGTATGAGTCTAAAAGCAAAAGAGAAAGGAGGAACCTGTGCGTTGGGCGGCCCAGTGTCTGGGTCTGGCCAAAGAGATATGAGCCGAAGGGAACGGCCTTTTCACGGCGTGGCTGCTCTATGTTGAATTTGTATCCGTTCTAGCAAGAACATTTTTTTAATGTTCATTTATTTTTGAAAGAGAGAGTGAGACAGAGAGTGAGCAGGGGAGGGCCAGAGAGAGGGAGACACAGAATCGGAAGCAGGCTCTGAGCTTCAGCACAGAGCCCGACGCGGGGTTCGAACCACGAACCATGAGAACATGACCTGAGCCGAAGTCGGACGCCCAACCGACTGAGCCACCCAGGTGCCCCAAGCAAGAAGTTATTTTAAAATTATTTTTGTGTGTGTGAATACAAGGGAAACATGGTTTGGAAAGACATAGAAACTTCTAGAAAATCTAACTGCTTCCAGAAAATATGGGAAATAGCTATTAGATGCTAGAAAATTTGGGAAGAAAGAAAAGGTTATAACAGCTGTTGCCTTTGTAAAGATGCGTCAGACAAAATGATTTTGCTCAGAAAGCACAGAACTTGGCCCAGCCCAGTCCTCTTCTTCCTTTAACATGCAGGAAGTAAAACATAAGGTCCAAATGATCAAATGATACAATTGGGGAGTTGGGGGCCCGGCTTCTCCTTCTCGTGGGGCCTCTGACCCACCCTCAGACCCACACCCCGTTCCTACCCCCTGTGAAACAAGAGTCTCCCCATGACCTCCAGGGACCCTGCAAATCCTATGATCCCTTTACGCTTTTCCATTTTCTTCCAAACCAGCATCACAAGATGATATTATTTCACCCCCCCCCCCACCCCAAACGGGGCAGGCTCAGAGGCCCTGGCCCTCTCTCAGCTGTATGCTAAGCAGCTCTGTGAGGCTCGGGGCCAGGAGCAGAACTGCCTGAGTTTTGGCAACTGGATAAAGCAAGTGACTTTGGAGTGCTGAGATCTGGAATAATGTGGGTACATCAGTGGACCCATTTGGGGCCAGCTCTCGTGACTCCGCGTGCATGCAGTGTTCGGGGAGAGGTCTCATCACACGGCCACGCCTGCCTCCTTCTCGGGTGTGGGTGCACCCTGTGCGTCCCCTCCAGGGACAGCGGTCTCCTCACAGCTGCCCTACACCCCACTGAGACACAACACCCTCTTTTGAGTCAAACAACTGACCACCCAGGCTTGCCAAAATGAGGGCAGGCTCTGAAAGGGGACAGTTTTATTTCAAGGGTTTAATGGGTCCAAGGAGATGAAATGAAAAGTTTCAGCTATTAAAAAAAGGCGGGGGGATAGACCATCTTCTTCCAAATAAACAAACTATCCTTTGAACAAGAAAAGAGTCTTCTAACTGGGTCAGGCTGGGGCCAGGTCACGAAGGAGTCACATGTCCCGTGGGGCCCCCTCTCTATTCCTTGCTACCCTGATTTCTCCCTCTGCTGCTTTGGGGAGCCCAGTGCTCTCCTGCTGGGGCCCTGCCAAGGAATGACATGAGCTCATCGGACACAGGCCCTTCCCAGGACACAGAGCTTCCATTTGGAAAGGAGGCCCCTGCAAATCTCTAAGGGTAGAATTCCAGGCGGGGAAAGTTCCCCAGAATCTCTCAAATCACACCATAAAGGCAGCATAAGATTTGCTTCGACTACCAACTTTCAACACTTTATGGGTTTGTTTGTTTTTTTTTTAATCTAAACCATGATTTTTTTTTTCTCTCCTGTTTACAACCTCTCTGGCAAATGATTACAACTTAACCGTGTGAATACGTGCAGACTACGTTATGTGCAATGATTCACAGGATGGCAAAAACGTGACAGGGTAGAAAAACCTAGAGAATTGCTCTCAGCTTCCATATCAATATGTGTTTGTTATTTAGTAAGTAGAATGCTATTTAGGCCTCCAGTATTTCAGCCCCTCTTCTGTGTGCCGGGGACAGAGATGGAACTTTGATCCTATCTGGTCCTCAAAGAGCTTATAGGATGTTGGAGGGCAGAAGTTAAGACATTATATCACCCAGAGAAATGGTATCACCAGCACGGAACTTTCTGAGAGCACAGAGGAAGAACATCAAGGCCTCCCTGTACAGCTGTATAGCCTGCGCACTGCCTAACTGTGGGGTCACCATCCCACAAACTCCATTCTCAATAGAGCCCTGTGGAAACTTTGAGTGGGAAGAGCCTGTGAGACTTGCAGGGATTGGCCAGATACAGGTCTAGCGCAGAAGGGAGGCCCTGACTCCTAGAAAAGCGGGAGAAACCTGCTGAGGGTGTTTGCAGGCTGATGGTATGACACATCCCCGCTGGGAGAAGGGCTCAGCTTTCCCATGGAGACTCCAGAGAAAGAGCACTGAGGAAGGTGGGTTTGACTTGGGGGCATTCGTGTTACTTCCCAGCTCACTTAGAGAAACTGGTGTCACTCATGGGGCTTTCTACGATCTGTTCTCTCCCACCCTTACCTCTCCGAATTTTCCTCCTACCACTTTCCTGTCCCCACGCCCCACTCTCCACCAGCCACACTGTTCTCCCCGCTGATCTCTGAATGAACCACACGCGTGCCCACTGTAGGCCTTTGTCCGGATGCCCCTCCAGGCGGAGCTGTGTTCCCCTCGCTGACCAACTTACCGACTTCCATCTTCTACTCTGACGGTCCCTCCGATGCCACGTCCTCACTGTCTTCCTCACCCCCTCACTGACATCCCAGCCAGTCCCCGCCCCCTCTGGCATTCTGGATCCCCAAGGCTGCCCCTCCACTTCCATGTTTTTCCAAAATCACTTTTCACCTTCTGACGGACTGCAACTTTAGCTATTACCTACATTAACGTTGGAAGAGCGGGATTCATAAAACTCATTTCCAGATCTTTGGTGTTTCAAGATCATCAGCTATAACTTGGTTCTAACTTTCTTAGTATCAGGATCGGGTCAGGAACCGTAATATTCTTTGATTAAATTGAATATGCCCCATCATTTTCAAAAGAACATATAAATGGTAACCAAGAGCCAATGCAAACCACAATAATCCAAATAGACATTAGTCCTCTAATGAGACCGGGAAATCAAAGAGACCCCATGAAAGCAAAGGCTGTTTCTTTCTCCCCTTGGCTTCTTTTCCTGCTTCTCTTCTTGCTGGGATCTGCACCCTACCCTGCACATGCCTTACCTTAACGTATGCCCCCTTTCTAAGGGATAAAGAGATAATGATATCTTTGGAGTTTTCCAGCACAACAGATGATATCTAAGGAATGACCGGGCAGAGGTATCATGTGCCTGTTCCAGACCAGAGACACTAGATATCTGCACGCCAAGACCCCTGGCTTCAGGGAACGAGCTACTTATGAAGGACGTGTGGACCCTGTCTTGTTCTGACCCGCTCCTGTATGTTTGAGAGGACACACACCCGACCCTAATCACCAATAAACACCACAGATCCCAAGCAAAGGCCAGACTCCCACCTGGAGGGGCATCCGGACAAAGGCCTTCCAAATCTCCTGGACACTCCATCTCTTATCTCTTTCGGTATGTATCTTCGGTCAACCCTGCTTTTGCCTCCTGCTGGGTTGTGTTTGATTTCCATCCTGTGCGAAGCCAAGGAGCCTCCTGGCTGATTCTGTGGGACTGTCCCCCACTCTGGGTCCTCAGACCCGGCCCGCCTGCATCGCTAGTAAGTGGTTCTATCCTCTGAAGATGTACTTGTCACCGAATAAAAAATATATAGCCATGGTCATAACATGTAGTTTCAAGGAAAAGATGAGAGTTTCTGCCACCAAAATTTTTTTTTTTTTTTAAATTAAAAGCCATCTTAAAACTATTTCACTAAAGCATTAGGTGGTTGAGTAAATCCTGAATGGCAACCGGGCTTAGTTTCTGGTCTTGGCCCATCTATGAACACGTTACTTCACGCCACGATAAGATACAACTCCATTTTCTCAACTCTGCTTGTGGATTGTAACACGTGAAAGTGACATCACGCAAAATACTCCCATCCTCCAAACACGAACTTTCATTACACTTTTAAAAATTAAATGAGGAAAGAGAAGCTTGGGCATTGGCTGGAATTGTGGGTAATGGCACTTCAGCTCTAAGGATGCTCTGTGGCCTTGACAGCAGGGGCACAGGCTCTGGGTCACTCTCCCCCCCTGGGAACAGACTTGTACTGACCCCTCATTACTCTCTTCTCCTTCTGCTGTGCCCAACGGCCCAGGATGGGTCTGGGTGACCCCAACAGGCTCCCTGAGACACACAGACCAGGACTTCCCCTTCTTTACCACCAGATCTTGGCTGCCCGACAAGCTTTTGTTGATCTAGGTCACAAACAGGTGACAAATGCACTCTAACTCTGTTGCTGGCCCTCCCTTTTTGTTCCCAACTCTGCCCTATGGAAACAATTACTGGGGTCACAATTAACATCCCCATGGAGCTGAGGGTCCCCAAACAAGGTCCAGAAAGAGCAGACAGTTTTTGCCGAGACAGCCTAATTCTGTTGTGCTCTGGTGGGCAAGAACCCGGACTTGACGCTGGACGACCCGTAAACAGTCACGGCTGTGCCCACATCCTTTAAGGAACCACAGGGTCTCATCTGAAAACACCCCTCTCTCATAGGACTGCCACGGGAAGCACGTTGTGCCCTTCAAGAGAGATCCCAAACACATCTAAATGACAGTAACACCCATCAGGTTTCCCTAGGGATTCCCCTGGGATTTAGTGCGAAAGACAAACCAAGAAAAACCAGGCCAGAAAGTCATTTGAGAAGATGTTCATCAGGATCTGGGTCATCTGGGACAATCAGCTTTTCACGGGCAAAAACTTCCTCCCTGAGGAAGGTGCCACAGAAGTGCCACGGGACAGCCAGGGTGGGGAGGGAGAGCTCCCCGGCCTCCAGGGGCTCGCCCAGGGCGGGGTGGGCCACTCTTAGATGCCACAGGACTTACCAGGTAGCGTTCCTCCTGCCTCATGCTGGGGGTGCGGATCATGTGGTTCTGTTCCCCTCTCCAGTCTCCAAATCGACGGAAAAAATAGTTAGATAAAAACCGGTTGACGGGGTCTCTAATGATGTTGATGTAGACGGGCTGGTCTCCTCCAAACCTAACACATGCACACAAACATAGAGCTGGTTACGACCCATCACTTCTGGAGGACAGCGAAGCCCACTTAGACTCCGTTTCCCCTCTAGCTCATATATTGTCATTAGAGGACCCAGTCTGCTAAGGTACCAGTGAAGAATTCAATCAGCGAGCAGGGGTTCCTGATCGGCACTTTATTACGTGTGGGAAATGTCTGTGCGGGGACCTGCTGGGGCTGAGAGGGCTATTCCTGGCCAGCACCATGCAAACGACTGGATTTGTCAGCAGGGAGGTGTAGACATGGTCTCGTTTTCTCCCTGCGCTGTGGGTTCCTGAGGGTGGGGGCATGCGGTAGTGGGTTTTGTATTCCCAGCATTTGGCACAGACACACTGGCCGGTGGCTGGCCCTCATAGAACGTTTGATCAATTCTGATTGCCATGCTGGGTGAGACGGTGCTTCTTCTATGTTCTGATTCCAACAGTCTCAGGGCAGGTGCTCTGCAGGAAGTGGGTAACATTAGCCAACGTTTATTGAACACACTCAACATTTATTAAATCACCTTCTTGTAAACCTTTCGTGAACACCTCACAGAAGACTCACAACGTCTCCATGGAGTAGGAACCATAACCGTCCCCATCGGCACCTGGGGCAGGGAGGGGGTGAGTAATTTGTGGCTGAGCCGGGATGTGAACCCAGGCAGGTCTGGCTCCAGAATCTGTGCTCTGAACCATGGAAAGAAGATTCCAGAGTTGAGGAAAGTAATAACGTAAGGGGGCATTATGAGCACAACAAAAATCTATGTCATTATCCTCAAATGGAGGCAGGTGGTTTTAGATCAAAATAAAACGAATATCTAGGTGTTTCATTTTAATGCCTTCCACAAAGGTACTGGGTAAATGCTCTGAACGCTGGCCTGAGGGCAAGGCCTCCCTGAGGCAAAACGATCAGGTTGGCTGAGTTTTTCTTAAGGCTTCTCCCCTTTTTCTTTGACCGGCCTGCACGCAATGGCCCTGGGGAGCCTGGGAGAACACTCCAGGCTCTGGGCACAGGTCTCGCTCTGGGGACCTTCTGGGGACCCGCAGGCAGACCCTCAGGGTCCTTTTACCCTGCGACCCCGTGGCCTTCTGATGAGGATGCCTGGACATTCCATCAGGGGTCAGAAGGAGCTCAGAGAAAACAAACTGACGAGACCCCGTCCCACGACTCCCCGGCTGGCAGGCTCTGTCACCTTGCAAAAGCCAGCCCAGAATCACAGTCACATCCTTCAGCAATTCTGCCCCATCCCATGTCCGTCCTTCTGTCCGGCACTGTCCGTGTAGGTCTGCTCTCCCGTCAGCCTATGCTCCTGGAGCCGGCAACGATGCCACTTAGCACAGTGTGAGCCACACGGTAGGTGCTCAGCCAGTGAAGACTTGAATGCCTGAGTGTATGCTTCTCAGTTTACAGGTTTCTGCTGATATCACAGGCCTCTGCTATAGACGAAAGTCGACATATCAGGTCACCCATCCTTTGTCGTGTATTAACTCACATAAGGTCCTAGGTCTATTTGTGTTTTTATCTAAAATTTTTTTTTTTAACATTTATTCATTTTTGAGGGACAGAGAGAGACAGAGTGCAAGCAAGGGAGGGGCAGAGAGAGAGGGAGACACAGGACCTGAAGCAGGCTCCAGGCCCTGAGCTGTCAGCACACAGCCCGACGCGGGGCTCGAACTCACGAGCCGTGAGGTCATGACCTGAGCCGAAGTCGGATGCTCAACCGACTGAGCCATCCAGGCACCCCATTTGCATTTTTATTTTTTTTATTATTTAAAAAAAATTTGTAATGTTTATTTTTGAGAGAGACAGAGACAGAGCGTGAGCAGGGGAGGGGTAGAGAGAGGGAGACACAGAATCCGAAGCAGGCTCCAGGCTCCGAGCTGTCAGCACAGAGCCCAATATGGGGTTCGAACCCACGAATCCTGAGATCATGACCTGGGTCAAAGTCAGACGCTTAACTGACCGAGCCACCCAGGGGCCCCAATCTATTTGCATTTTTAATGAGAAGCTTCAGAAAGAGGAATCCAAAGGTACAAAAAGAAATGACTGTCTAGTGGTGGACTTTCAGGCACCAGGCTGCGTGAATGATACTCTGGACTCCTTGACCACTCCCCACGGGAAAGGTAAGCAGGGTTAGCCGTGCCAGTACGAATCTTGTATGGACACAAGGTGACGTTCACGCAGCTGGAGGCGCATGGGAACCAACTCATCTCACAAGTCAGCTGTGCCAGACCAGCTAACCCCTATCGTCCTGGAGGTATCTTCCTCTTTTTAATTAAACTGAGTTTCGTACCTACGATAAGCAGCAACTAAAGTAATAAAGCTACGGGTTAGGAAGACGAAGCATGCGTCCCAGATGTGAATGCCGGGAGGCCCTCCGCAATCGCATCACGCTTTCAAAAAACCTCAACTGTAGTCTGTCTTCATGTGAAGAATGACTATTACCGCGAATTAGCAGAAGTGCCCAATCCTGTGAAGCAAGGCACGGCTTCCCACTGTGAGAGGGCCCTCAGTCTGGCCGCTGCCCTCTCCCCCCCGAAGGCTGCAGACTGACAAGGCTTCTTGGACGTGGGTGACGTGCTCTGAGTTGCACGCGGCAGCCCAATGCAAGGTTTCCAGGATAGCTTTCCGAAACAGAAGTTTTAGATGGTTTAGGAATTTATTAAGTATCAGATAATATAATAGCCACTCTCTCGAAATTTCTAACTGTAGAGAGACGTCTGATAGAGATCTCCCCCATTCCAGAAGTCAACAGTAATAATGGTTTCAGGCTGCCAGCCCGGTCCTTTGTCTAGGACAGAGCTCCCCCCCCCCCCCCCCCCCCAAACTGGTAACACTGGGGTGGCACGTTAGTTACACCCAAGAGGCCAGAATACCACCCACGCTTCCCAGGGAAACAAGTTTCCCCCCTCAACCCATCCTCTCTCGAGATCAGTTTCTCCTCCTCCTGCAATGTTTGGTCCTAATCAGAATTCCTGGTCACCCTTAGCAGGTCTCCCAGTCTCCTGAACGTAGGGCTGCTGATCTGTGCCAGAAACAGAAGGCTTTGCACGCCCACCCAATCTCAGGCCACACAACACTCTGCCTTACGTTTTCAACCCTGAAGGGAAGACTTCCAGAGCCTCCCGGTGAAGTCCCTCCTATTGGCCAGCCTGACAGCTGAGGTCTTTGGTGTACCAGCCAAAATTCCCAGTCTTCTTTTATCCAGACTTCCTTTTGTTGATCCCCCCCGACATAAAGAATCAGCTTCTCTTTTTGTTTGTGGCCGGTGTTTTTGTTTGTTGGTTGGTTTTCGTTGGTTTGTTTGTTTTTAAAACTTTTAGCCTTTTCGGCTTCAATTTTAATTCCTGTAAATTCTTTTGTGCGTGTTTCTTCTTGAAAATTCCTTTGGCAGTTGTCTTCAGACTTATTTCCTTTTATTTTTTAATCTGTACTACTAATTTGGCCTTTATGAAGCTCTAAAAAATTGTGCTGACCACAACTGAGGAAAGGTTCTGCATTGTGCAAACATCCTAGAGCAGAGGAGGCGGGCCATATTTTGTTTTTCACTTAACAACCCACGCTCTTGTCCCTTGGTCACCACAACAGCTACTGCATATGTGAAGCTCTCTTTTAAGTCATCCTAAAATAGCAGGCGTTTCCACTCTTTGGCTTCTGTTCATACACCGTATTTATCAACTCTTCAATCACCCCCTGTGGGTCTCCTTCCGACCCTCTGCAAATTTACCATATTCTTTTCATTTTTGTGTTTTGATGAGAAGATGAAGACCCAAGGCAGAATGTAATTCTCGAGAAATGATAACTGCATGGCTCTCACTTTTTTCCCATGAATTCCTAAATATCTCATTCTGAGGATGTTCTTTCGTATCTGCCCCCCACTGCTGCCTTAATCAGTCAACCCGCAGCATTAGCCACCTCCCCAATAGCTACGCAAAGCAAAGCAGGTGGGAAAGAATTTTAGGCATACTTTCATCAACTTGCTGGTGATATTCTGCCTAGAATATTACTGCACATAGTAAACAGCAAGACTTATGACCCCAGTTGTTCTGGGGAATTAAGATTGTGTTGTCCTCCCATTATGGTAGAGTTTGCTAGGGCTGGGAACATTTTTTTGAAAGTATGTCTTCTTTTTTGTGTGTTTGTTTAAATTATGGTAAAATATACATAACGGAAACATTTCACGTATACAGCCATCCCCAGAACTTTCTCCTCATCCCAAAGCCGAGCTCTGCGTGACCCTCCACTTGGCCCCTGGCAATTTCCATTCTACTGAAAGTGTATCTTCTTCTCACCTCTGGCCTAAAAGTAGGGGTTATTCCTTGTGCTGTTACCTAACATTCAAAGATGGTAAGTGCCCCGTGGCTAGAAGCCCGGCTTTGATCCCTGGGGAAGAGACACTTTGAAGTGACAGAAAGGCCATCATGGAAAAGGCTGTGATTGTTTGGGGGGCAGGCTGAGGAGCTGCCCACAGGAGGAGGGAAGGAGGGATGCTTATTTGCTGGTCCTTCGTTGGAATGGGGTCAAAGGGCCACCGAGTATCCTCCCAAACCCGAGACGGGGGCACTTTGGTCCCTGCCGCCAGGGAGAGGATGTCACTTCACGAAACACAAGCAGAGAAGACTGAGCCTCCTCGGCTCTGTGGCGTGTCCTGAGGGAAGAGAGGGGGATGCTGAGTGGGGACAAATGTGGGTGAAGGGAGGGCCGGCTGGGATACTGGAGTGAGGGCTCCTGCTTGGAGCCAAGGGGACTCCACAAGAGGGAAGGTTGTTCATAGCAGGCAGTGAGGCGGGCTCAGGGAAAAGTCCAGAGGACACTAATCTCCGTCGGGCCAACAAAGCACGTGGGCTTATGTGTCCCCTGACCAGCGCCATCCGCTCAGGGGAAGGGGAAAGTGAGAAGAGAGCGCCATTTTCCCAAGATTAGTCCAGCAGTGTTTCAACAGGATGAAATCAAGCTTCAGGAGGGAAAGACAGCGTTCAGCAGCT